GCCTGCTGGAGGGGATGCCTCAGGAACATCATGATTTAGCCTCTCTTGCCTCCTGGGTAACCAGAGAAGCCATGTGGTTTCTTCATTCTGGCACCATTAATTTTGTGGCAGGATACTGTACACATCACCCAGGTGGTGCCTGAATCTGTGCCTTGATTTCTCCCCATGGAATAAGAATACTAACTGCTATGTGTACAAGCAAGATCACAGGCCAGCCTTCAGGGAGTCTCCATGTAGGTATTAGAGAAAGGGTGGAGTAACTTAGGCTTTTGGAGAAGGCAGAAGAACCCCATGAGCTTGAAGGCAGAGAAACAGGCTGAGTTAAGAGGAAGGAAGAAGTGAGAAGCATCCTCCGCAGAGTACAGCAAGTAGGAGGCTAATAGACAGCCAGAGCTTTTGTGTCAGAATGTGTTGGCTCAAGGAAATTCAAGGGAACCTGTTGCTGGTCCTAGGAAGCAAGTGTCAGAGTCAATAAACATACTCCTCACCCCAGCTTCCCGCCTCCAGTTACTAGGTCATGGACTGCCATCTTGGGGTGTATGCAGGAGTGTGCTGAGGCTTCTAGACACTGCTGACTCCATAAGAAAATATTCAGGAAACAAAGTCTTGGGACAAGAAAATATCTAATAGGAGAAATTGTTCTTATTTTTCTTACTCTTTTTACTGTATAAAATTTTGAGTCATAAGCTATGGCATACGGGAAAAGAAAGATGGTTTAAAAAAATGGAGTAGGGGGGCTGGAGAGATGGCTCAGCAGTTAAGAACACTGAATGTTCTTGCAGAAGACCTGGGTTTGCATCCCAGCACCCACATGGCAGCTAACAACTGTCTATAACTCCAGTTCCAGAGGATCCGACAGCCTCTTCTGTCCTCCGAGGGCACTGCATGACACAGGTGCACTTACCTACACGCAAGCAATATACAGATACATGTAAAAAAATAAAAATAGAGCTGGGCGTGGTGGCACATGCCTTTAATCCTAGTACTCAGGAGGCAGAGACAGGCAGATCTCTGTGAGTTCAAGGCCAGCCTGGTCTACATGGTGAGTTCCAGGACAGCTGGGGCTACAGGGAAACCCTGTCTCAAAAAGACCAAAACAAAACAAACAAAAAATAATAAATATTTTTAAAAATGGGGTAGGGTCTATTAAAGCTAAGAATACATTTTCTTGCTGGGTGTGGTGGTGCATGCCTTTGATCCCAGTACTTGGGAGGCAGATGCAGGTGGATCTCTGTGAGTTTAAGGCCAGCCTGGTCTACAGGCACGTCCAACCCTTTGACATCTCCATCTACAGTTTCCCTGCTAGAGAACCATGCAAAAAAAAAAAAAAAAAAAAAAAAAGAAAAGAATACATTTTCTTAAAGAATAATTGATCTAAAAAGAAAAATTTAAGCTAATTACAAAGAGCAAGGACAATGCCAGGTGTGGTGGTGCACACCTTTGATCCCAGCTCTTGGGAGGCAGAGGCAGGCAGATCTTTTCGAGCTCAAGGACAGCCTGGTCTACAAAGTGAGTTCCAGGCCTACTGGGGCTACAGGGAAACCCTGTCTCAAAAAGACCAAAAAAAAAAACCCCAAACAAACAAACAACCCAAAAACCCCCCAAACAACAAAGAGCAAGGGCAATTTTCTAAATTAGTAAAAATGGTTTTTTTTAAATTTATTTATTTATTTATTTATTTATTTATCTATTTATCTATCTATCTATTTATTTATTTATTTACTTTTAGTGTTTTTGAGACAGGGTCTCCCTGTATTTATGTGTATGAGTGTATTGCCTGTGTGTATGTGAGTGCACTCATGTAGTGCAATGCTGCAGAGGTCAGAAGAGGGCTTCGGATTCCCCTGGAACTGGAATTAAGGATGCTTCGTAGCTGCCATGTGGGTGTTGGGAATTGAACCTCGGTCCTCTCCAGCCCGTGTATGAGTTTTATGCTTGCGTGTGTGTAAGTGCACCTGTGTTGTGCAGGGACCAAGGTGGTCAGAAGAGGACATCAGATCCCCTGGAACTGGAGTTACAGACGATTGTTAGCTGCCATGTGGATGCTGGAATTTGAACCTGGGTCTTCTGCAAGGACAGCTAGTGCTCTTAACCACTAAGCCATCTCTCCAGCCCCCTAGAAATGGCTATTAAGAAGAACAGAAGACATGAAATGGAAACATTAATGTTGGAAGTGGAGATACAGAATAATCCATGTAAAAAAACTGAGCTGGGCATGGTGGCACAGGACTGTGATCCCTGCACTCGAGAAACAGAGCCAGAGGGACTATGAGTGTTGTAGCCTGGTCAACATATCCAGACCTCAAAAAAGACAAGCCAGAAAAAAAACAAAACAAAACAAAAAAACTAGAAAAAAGTTTACTTCAGGTGTGATGACATACATGTGTAAGCCTAGCACTTTGAGGTAGGGAAAGGGGTTCAAGGTCATCCTTGGCTACATGGCTGGTTTGGGCAGTCTGGGCTACATGAGACCCTGTCTCAAAAACCAACCCCTTCCCCCAAAGGCTTAAGGACCTTCATGGAAGAGGGAGTGGGAAGAATGAAAGAGCTGAGGATGGGGAGAACTGCTGTGAAATGCTGTCTTCTAGACAAGACATGGTCATTGCTTTCATAAACTCACAGCAGCTGTGCTAACCTGCATAAGACCTACACAAGATCAAGCCAGTCAAAATTCTAGCATGGATGGGGGAGGGATTCACAAGACACCACCCCCGATGAGGAACTATTAGAAGTTGATGGATTCTGGGGCTGAGAAAGTGAGACTCTGTCTCAAAAACAACATAAAACCAAAAATTAATTAATTTTTAAAAATTATTTAGTGTTGGGAGGGATATGACTACAGAAGTCAGAGGACAACTTGTGGCAATCAGTTCTTTCCTTCCAGCACGTAGGTCCTGAGGATCAAACTCAGGTTGGAGCTTGGTGGCAAACACTCTTATCCATTGATCCATCTTGCTGGCCCTCATGTAGTATTTTTTAAATATTTTATTTCTTACTTTTATTTTATGTGTATGTGTGTATTGCCTGCATGTAGGTAAGTGCACCCATGTTGTACAATGCCTGTAGAGGACAGAAGAGGCTGTCGGATCCCCTGGAACTGGAGTTACGGACAGTTGTTAACTGCCATGTGGGTGCTGGGATTCAAACCCAAGTCCTTCTGCAAGAACAACCAGTGTTCTTAACCGCAGAACCATCTCTCCAGCCCCATGTAGTATTTTTTAATTTATAAGGTGGTTTACAAAATTAAGTCATCCTTCACAGAAAGGCAAAGCTTTCTTTTATTTACCACTGAAGACATTAAAGTCTAGATAGCACATTTTGCTCCTTGGCACAAGACCAGTAGGAGGAGACAGATTCAGCCAAGCTTTCTCACAGCTTGTCAGGCATACCTCTACTATACTACCTGCCTCAAGATCCAGACAGGAACTGTACACTGGGGGCCAGAGCTCTGGAAATAAGAGCTCCCCCAAGAAAACCCTTAGCCATAGTTCCTTCCTTGCACTCTGATGGGGCCTGGCAGAGCTGGTGTTGGTAAAAAGAAAAAAAAAAAAAAAAAGAGAGAGACTGAATGCTTTGTATCTTATAACATAGGGACTCAAGAGCTCTGGGACTACATGAGGAGGAAGAATAAGTGTAAGGAGAGACCCCATCAGTAAAGAACTGACATAGGAAGTAAATGAAAGGCTTAAAAGAAACAAAAAGACCAAAGGTGGGGTGTGGGGGGTGGGGAGGCAGGTGTGAGAAGATGTTTTTTAAAAGGGCAGAAAAAGAAAATGAGGAGTGGGGAAGGAATGACAAGATGGTTCAGGAGGTAAAGGCTCTTGCCAACCAGATCTGATTACCTGGAAGGAGATAATCAACTCCTGCAAGTTGCTCTCTGACCTCTACATACATCCTCACACCTGAATAAATAAAATGTAATAAAAACTTTAAAAAGGAAAATGTGAGGGCACAACATGCTTCTGCTCCCACTCTGAACCTCTGCATTAGACCGGAGAAAAGAGAGGAGGGAGATTGGAGAAGGAAGGAGACTAGAAAAAAGCAGAGAGGGGGTGAGAAGGGAGCTCAAACAGGCTCCTGAAGGCAGGTGGTACCTCTGTATCCTCAACTAAGCATCCAGTGAACAGACTGGATCACATAAACTGGGCCAATGGAGAGGTGCCAAGAATACATCAGTCATGATTTCCTGAGAACATTTACATCTCTACCTACTAGAAACTTTCCACCAATATCACATTCTCTTCAGAAGCCAGGTTTGAAAAGCCCATTATAATGGAATCTGGCCCCCAAAAGGGATAGACAGAACTGTATGTTATTTTCTGGAATTTTGTTGTCACTTTTCTAGAGACCAGAAGTTCCAAACTAGAGAACTTTTTAGGTAAGAATATGTAATATAGTTGGGGTTCAGTTCTACTTCCATCAAGGTAGAAGGACCAACTGAGAGAGCCCTCATTCAAATGCTCCTGGGGCATCTGAAGAACCATAGCTCTTTAGACCACCTCTCTGACGCACAAGCACAGGGAATGGAAACAATGGCACGAGCTTGGCTCTGGGGTTTAAACAAAGACAAAGCTCAGGCCTGCCTTGCAGGCAAACATCAGCTTACCAGTAGTTGGGAAGCTCTGTCAGCAACAGAGATGGGCTTATCCACATTCTTCCCAGTCAAGGACAGAAACTCAAACCATACCTCTGGTAAGCATTCCAACTCCCTGTGCATTACATGCATCTGAGACATGCTCAAGAAGTTAAAGGCTTTGCAGCAGCCCAAGGAAAAGCCAGGGCTAAAACTGAGCCCTGAGCACTGCCTGTGGTACAATGGCAGAAACAAGAACGCAAGCAGTTGAGAGGGAAGAGAAGAAGCAATACCAGTACCTGGTTAGGACGAGGTCTCCGCCCACCAGCACCAGAGCAGAGCTGATATGACCACCAGGCCTACAAGAGGCAAGGAGAATATGGGGGGATCAGGGGCAGGGGATGGCTGCAGCATGTCAAATGAGAGAGAAGCACAAGGAGAGACCGGGAGACGTGAGGTCGTATGAAAAGACACAAACACACGAATCCAACAGAGGATGGAGATGAGAAAACACAGGGAAAAGAGAAAAGAATCAAGAGGTTACAATTCACGTAAGCTGGGGCTGTGGCGTTTCTTCTCTGCTCCGAGTCTGGAGAAGAGCAGAGGAGTTCCTCCCACGGGCAGCCTGCAGAAGCTGTAAGACTGAATGGGTTAAACAGCAACTAGGTCCAAATTAGGTATCAGGGCCAGTTTTCTCTCCAGTCTTGTACAGCTCATATCTTGTCAAGCAGAAGTTATCTGCACCTCGACCTTTCTTGAGTCAGACACTCTGGAAAAGTGGAGCTACGGAGAGTACAGCAGGCTTCCTTAGAGGAGGAGGAGAGATGCTTTTCCTGGGTCACAGGAAGAACCAGTCCTCAGGCAGGCTACCTGTCAGCCCTACTTTCCGTCAAGTCTTTTACGTGGAGCTCTGGTTCCTAGGATCCCCTAGAAGTCAATTGCTTTGTGAGACAAAATGCAGTACAAGCTAACAGTGGAGAAGGGCTAGTGCCTTGACTGGAATAATTTTCAAAGAGAAATTGAATTTGTAATCAGTAACCCAATGCCAGGTGAATTGCCTACTAAAGATTCAGGATCCAGTAGGGTAAAGGGGCACCTCCATGTGCAGACACAAGCAATGCATTTGACTTTGAAGGACAAGTCAGGTTTGGCTTTAGAAATGTGGCCCCCAATATCAAGAAATCTATGAGGCTCCAAACCAGCTTGTGGTAGACTATGATGAGTTTAAAAGAAACATCGCCCTGGGGAAATGCTATAGCTTCTCCTACTGTTTACAGCCTAAGTAACAAGTCTTCTGCCACAAGGTCAACAGAGAACTGCGTATGGATCCTGAGCCAGTATTGCAGACTGAACTGCTTGCTGGGAAATTCCAGATATCTTTAAAGTGAATAGGATAATCCCACCTCAAGAGACATTTTCCTGAACTGAATACTGGGGACTGAAGAAGTGCTCAATTCCAGAACCCCCCAGATGACCTCAGGGCAGGAATTCAGCTGATAGGTATCAACAGAGATCTATCAGTTGTTAAAAGATGAAAATACTTCTGTACAGTTACTAACTTACCTGTCATCTGGGTACATAACCCCAAGATACCTCCCCTCTACCCTTAAAGATCAAGGAACTAATGGGTTAGGGCAGTGACTGATTGTGGACCCGCCAATGCCCCCGCTGTAACGACCAACTTTGACCACCACCCCCGTTCACCCACCTGGCCTGACTCTTGCATCCCATGATGTGCAGAACCCAGTGGGTGACCCAAGCCTACAGAGGAGAGATTGTCCCCTCCCCACAGCTGGAACAGCAACAACAAGGGTTAACTCTAATGGTACTATGGGAAAGCAAGATGGAGTTACTTTCTGAGGCTGGTAGAAATGCCCTGAAGAAGGGCCTAATATTGTCCAGTTCCTCTGTGACTGTCGAAGAGAAGGATGTAGGAACAGGCCTGATGTAGGGAGGGAGGTAATGAGCACTTCGATGTAAACGAAAGGACACAAATGCCCAACCCATGGCTCCCAGAAAAGGTGGTCATTGTGAGATGGCTCCACCACAAATTGGTCTAAGCCTGCCAGTTTCCCCAGAAAGACTGCTCTCCCCAAACCCTTCTCCATTCCTGTGCCCACTACATACTCATTGGCCTCTACTCCTGTAGAAATGCACCCTTGGCAGGAACACTCCTGAACACTGACGTACCTGAGCCCAAGGCTTATTTCCCACTTGGTCTAGGCTTTGGCTGTGGTTACCTTTTTGCTCTCAGAAGGTTTAAGGGGGTTGCCTTCCTCAGCAGCCTCAGAGGGGTCTTTGTCTTCTTTATCCTCCCCCTCTTTGTACTCTTCATACTCTTCCTCCTGGTCTGCTGCCATAGGCTCTTCTGGCTCAGTAACTAGTTCAACTGGTTCCTTCTTGGTTTGCTCTTTTTCTTCCTTTTTTGCCTCTTCCATCTTTTTTTCCTCCTCTTTTGCTAGCTCATCTAATTGCCTCTGGCTGGCCTTGTAGTACAGCACCACCTCCAGACTCTGTGGGGTGGAGGTAAGGCAGGAGGATGGGGGCTGCTGTTACCTACAAAAAACTTACCCTCAAGACAAGGCTGTACTACCTCCATGTCACAGTGCCACTGTGTGGGACTATATTTTGGGACTACAAGGTAATCTGAGAATAATGTGGAAGGCAGTCACAGTTAGTTGGGGCCAACACATCCACTTGACTGGTTAATCCATGTCAGACAGCTAACCATGATTCAAAATTCTTGGGCTCTGTACCTCAGCTGCTGCATCCCACCACTCCCATGACATCCAATCCTCTTTCACTTACTAGTACACAACTACTTTGAATAAATTCCTTTCCATCTAGTTGGACTTTCTCTTGGTTATATAACCCAGGAACAAGGAGCCCCAGAAATGGCTTGGGCCAGTGAAAGCAGTTGTCCAGCTCTCTCCCCATGGCTCCTAGGAAAACTGTGTCCACTTTCTATGAAGATGGAACTCCTGTAGACACTAAGGGGTCCCCGAAGCCTTCCTACACATCTGTTGCTTAGCAGGAACTATAGTGGAGATAGTGCTTCTTCCCAGGGCCTCTTCCACCCACCTATCTTTCTGGCTGCTAAGACTGCAACTCACCTTGTTCTCAAAGTCCTTCTTGGAACTCTCTGAGCATGTCTCACCCACCTTTCTGTTTTGAACTCCGTTGGCATTCTTGTTCATGTTCTTATTGCCATTCTTTGCCCTGGCTTCCTTGCCAAGGGAGGGCCTTTTCTCTTTGAGCTGATGGAGCTCTTCCTGGCAGCACTGCAGCTGCCCCTCCAGCTGCTCCTGCACTGCTAGAAGCCGCCCCTGCTCATCCATGCTAGCCTGGTACTGTAGCTGCAGCTCCCGCAGCTTGCTCTGCAGTTCTTTGATCTGTTGGTAGTGGAGCTCCAGTTACCAGAGCAGTCCTACACAGTCAGCCAGGGCCCTACTTGGAGAATCAGTGCCTCACAAATCTCCATGCTAAAGCTCACAAGGAAGTGGACCAAAAATAAATAAAAAAAATCAAACTAGAAAATAAGCCTCTTAAATAGTTTCACAAATGGCTTTTCCTTATCTTGAGGTATCTGAAGATCTGCATCTAATATGATTTTTTTTTTAACTTTTATTTTTTTTGGCTTTTTGAGACAGGGTTTCTCTGTAGCTCCAGCTGGCCCATAACTTGCTATGTAGACCAGGCTGGGTTCAGTCTCACAGAGATCCTCCTGTCTCTGCCTCCTCTACTGGGATTAAAGGAGTGCACCACCATACCTGGCTATTTTTTTAAAATCATGACCTGTCTGCAGAATAACTTCAGGACTGCTAACCCTTCTGAACCTCAGGAATTTATTACATAATTTTTTCTCCAGGAACTCTTACTTTACCCAGTCAATTTCTCTAAACAGATACTTAAGGAACTGTTGCATATACCTAGCAATGTACTGGGCACCTGCACCTTCCTCCTGGCAACACAGAAAGTTATAACCTGTCCCCTAATTCCATGTTTTGTCTTCCTCAACTGATGGCTGCACAGGATCTTCTCAGTAAGTATTAATCAGTCTAGGCTTCTGTGGTCATTGTTCTCTGGCTTTCTTTCCTCTCTCAGGTACACATTAGTGACCCTCCCACTTGATAGTGAACCATGGCTAGCCAGAGCCCTGTCCTTGAAGTATATATTATCTAGCTGGAGAGAAAAGACAAATACACTCAAAATAATGTAAGAAAATTGGCATGTGAAAAAATACTGCTCTACAGCTGTGCTCTGGGACACAAAGTAAAAGAGAAATGGAAAAGGGAAGAAAATAATTCCAAGAAAATAGACTGGGTGACCAGTACAATCGCAGCACAGTGAGCACTCGAGAGATGTTCTTGACCCTAACTAATGGGTTAGGGCAGTGACTGGCTGTGGATCACCAATGCCCTTGCTCTAAAGATATCTGAGTCCTGTCCATCAGCTCTCCTGGGATTAAGTTTCCCTTCCCCACTGCCTTCAGGCCCTGAAATGGCTCCAGGGACTCCCAAGAGAAACTCTGCTGCCTGACAGGTTACCTCATTCTTGTCGTTCTGAGGGGCTGCAGGCTTCTCAAGGCTTTCCATGCACTCCTTCACCTCCTTTTCACAGTTATCCAGCTCATTCTTCAGCTCTCTCTGCTTGACCAGCAGCTTGTTCAAATGCTCCTGCAGCTGGCTGTGGTCTTCCTGGCTCACCTGGTACAGGGCCTTCACTGCCTGCAACTTGGTCAGCACTTTGGCCACTGTTTCCTCAAAGTGCTGCAGAAAGTGGGGTGTGGGAAATGACAGCACCCCAAGAAGCACTTGACCTCTGTTCCACACTTTGCTAGGCCCTTCCCTCAATACAAAACAGTGGCTACAAGGATCTGCAGCTGCCTGGGGGAGACTATTTGTTCCCATAAAGAGCATCCTGACTGTATTGTGAGTTCTCAACCCCAGGCCTCTGTCCAGATGGGGGCACCTCTGTCAGAGAGGAATGATGAGGAAGCAAGGCGACCTGTGAGCTACTTACTTCCAGAAGTCTCCCAGGTCAGCTCTGCCCTTATTCCCGTCCCAGTCCTTGTGCCCTTCCCTGGATGGTGTTTCTTTCAAAGACAGGTACCCATCTTCCCCTGTCTACCTATCACCTGACAATGATTACCTCAATGTCTTCAGGCTTAGCTGGGTCCTCATCAGCATCACTGCTGACATAACTCTTATGAAAGTTTTCAGAGCTACAGGAACTGCTATAACTCTTCTTATAGGCAACACTTGTACTGCTGGAGCGGTAACTCTTCTGATAGGCCTCATTGGAATTGGTGCTGCTGTCATAGCTCCTGAGGAAGCTCTCATGGCTGGCCTGTGTGCTTGCATAACTCTTCTGAAAACTCTCATTGTCTTCTATGGTGCTGTTGTAACTCCTGTGGAAGTTTTCACTGCTGGGGACTACCATGCTGCCCGAGTTCTTTTTGTAGGACTCGAGGCTCATTTTTATGGTGGGGGACTGCATTTGGAGTAGCTGCATTTCTTCCATGCAGAGCTGCAGCTCAGCCTGCAACCTTTTCCGCTCCTCCAGGAGCCACCCATGCTCCTGTTGCAGTAGCTCCTGCTCCCTCTGACTGGATTCATATAGCACCTGCAGGGCCTGCAGCTGGTCCACAAGCACCTTGGACTGGGGGGAGCAGGAGACATCACTGTTACTTCTGAGACACATCAGTCCTTTCAGCTGCCCCTCTCCTAAGGCAGATGGGAGTGCTTGCCTGAGAGAAGTGGGCACATATCCCTCAGCCTCACAAGGCCCTTGTCTTTTTTGTTGTGAGCCTGAGTCTTTAACAGTTAAGCCACTTCTCCAGTCCAAGGCCCTTGTCTTGGACCTAACCTACAGGTGACTGGCATGTGTCAGCTTTCTGCTTATTTGGGAAAATCCCTCCAGGGCAGATACTATTATGATTTTGGAGCTCCTTCTTCTACTGGTTTCTATACTCTGGCATATCCCTCTCTTTGAAGCAGTGTAGGCAGGTCTCAGGAATACCCTGGCTCCTTACCCCACCATCTTCTCAGTCAAGTATACCTATTATCCTGCTCTTGAGGCTCAGTCCTCTCCCTCACCCTTCATGCTAAAATCAGCCAAGCTGAGAATGTGTGCATATGAATTCTGTCTTCAAAGGATGTAGTCTTGAAATCAAGATCTTACGTCTCACCAGTCCCTAGACCTTCTGTCCTGATTCTACTGGCCTCGAGACATGTTCCTCAGACTCAGTGGACCTGGTTCCTTGGCTGCCACATTAGATCTGATTGGTTAAGGAAAGTTTGTACCTGGTTCCCGGTCTCTGTGTTACCCAAGCTTTCTGCCTGGATATATGATGCCTTTGGAATGACCAAGGCCCACTATGTGGACTTCTCCAATTTCCTGGGTCTCTCTGTTCAGCCTAACATTAAAATGGGTAGGTTCAGCCTAAACTGAAGCTGTCTACCTGCTCTTCCCTGCTTATGCTGAGACCTCAGACCAAATTAGTTCCCTAAATCTGAACAGACTTGTATAGACATTTCTGCATGTGTTACCTCATAGGCGTGACCACCTGGTGGCACTTGGGACACACTAATTTTCTGGTTTCGCCCCTATGACCTAGCAATAAAAGTGTGGTCAATACCAAGACTGTCTGTTATGACTGTTTTCCTTGGAGATGAATGGGCCTAGATTTGCTCCACAGAACCTCAAGGGGTTAGACTGAAAACAGAGAAATATACTTTCCAGCTCTTAGAAAAGGATGATACATTTAGGGCCAGTCCAAACAAACACTGAATTGGTACCACACATCTTGAAAATGCCATGTTGATGGGACCATGCTGAATCCAATGGTCAGACATGGTCTTCTTGCCCACTTGAACTCTGTTCGAGATGCTGACAGTACTTTGGCTCTTAAGACTAAATAACCCCATAACTCCAAAAACCAAACCAGAGGGTATGCCTCTGGGTGGGGTCCTCAGAGCACCTATGGCCACAGCTTACTGAAGCCCATAGAGTTCCATGGTTGGAGAAGGGCAGGGCTTTAGTCTTGCCCTGCCTCCTAGTGGACTAGGCCTTCCTGGCTCTAACTCTTCCCTACAGTCCCCCGCCCCTGCCATGAACTGTGCTCGGGAGAACCCTCTCCCTGACTCTTGCTGTGGTTACCTTATTCTCACAATTTGAGGACTTGGGCCCTTTGGCATCCTGAGGGTGTTCCAACACTTCCTGGAAATTAGACTCTCTGAAATCTCGCAGCTCTTTGTGTGCCTCTAACTGTTCCCTTAATACACTCTCTTGGTTCTGCATCAGTTTTTTCTGTTCATCCTGCATGCTTTGGTACAGCAGCTGCATTTCACACAGGTCTTGCAATTTTGAAAGCAGCTCCTGACCCTAGTGGGGCAGAAGAAGGAAAAATGGTGGTTAAAGGGAGAGCTCAGGCCCCTACTGTGCCTCATCCCTGCTGGATTCTCTCTGTCTTGGCTACACGTAGCTCTCCCGGGGACAGGCGGGTCTTTCTATGGAGACTTGCTAGTTGAACAGTAATGATCCCTTCTGTGAGGATATATTTTAGAGTTTAAAAGTGATTTCAGGTGCACTTCCTCCAAATGAACTAAATATCTAAATATAAAATGCTGCAGAGATCAGAATATAAAATATATTTTAAGGCTTAAAGCCTGCATGAAGAAAAACCTGAATCAGCTCTGTGGAGCTGTGTGCTGTGGGGAAATGGTGAGAAAGGATGTGCTTAGCCTAGAAAGGAAGATGCTCACTTCCCACTCTCATTTTTCCCAAGGGCAGCTCCACCTGGGAAGCTTCTCAATGCAGCATCCTGGCAGTGGGTACCTTCTGCAAGAGGCCACATCGGGGCTGTGGGAATGTGAGCCTGTGCAGCTCTTCCTGGAGCTGGCCCTGTTCCTCCTGCAGCCTCCTCTGATCCTCCAGGAGTTCACACTGCTCCATCTGCAGCTGTCCCATCTCCTTCTGGCTGGCTTTGAACTTGTCCTGCAATTCTGTCAGCCTGGACAGCAGTGTATCACACTATGGGTAGGGATGGATGTGTAGGGCATGGTTAGTCTGTAAAGAACACTCAGTGAGGGCTGGCAGAGCACTGTGTGCTCTCCTGCCCCCTGTGGCTCACCAGGCTCTCCCTCCTCCCTGTTTAGTCACCTGGGACTAATCACCCTGTGCAGACGAGGCCTCCATGAGAAGCAGGAATTCCATAGGAGGCTCTTTGAGCACTTTGCTCTGTACTGCCAATGACGATGCTCTAAGTTTCCTTTGCCAGCCCCTTCAGACTCCAAGCTTGAGAGAGGGTGCTCCCAGTGCCCCTCCCTCTGTTCTCTGTCCTTTCCTGTGGCACAACACCTCTATCTCCCTGCCCTGCAGAGTAGCTCTAGTTAGTATCATCAGTTGGCTTTGGACCTAATTTTATGTTCCTTATCACTAAGGATTTAATTTCACTCTGATTTTCTTATTTTTGTTTTTCTTATTTTTTATCCCTCCTTTACTGGGTTGAACCCAGGACCTTATGCATGCTAGGTAAGTGCCCTACCACTGAACTATATTCCCAGCCTTAACCATCTCTTAAAACCTTTAGAAGAGTATGAGCTATTCTTGAATTTTGTTAAGACTACATTAGCCCATGATTCCAAAAACCAAATCTTTTAATATCAAATGAAATCTCAATGCTTTGCGCACCACTGTGTCTCTCTTTTCCTATAAGCTTCCACTATGAGAAGGTAATGGGCAAGTCATGGATCCTCTGGGCTCCTAAACTGAATGGGAGTGAAGGAAGAGGGCAAAATGTGAGCCTAGGCACAGAAAGGCAACCAGACTGTAACTTCCCAATCCTCTCTATCCCGATGGCCTTTCCCTAGAGACATAGCCAGCTATGGCAGAGGCAGGAGCCCGAGTATTCTGGCAGAAGTGTCCAGCTTCATCACTTCCCAAGACCCCGTGCCTTCTTTCTGATATGCTTCACCTTTCTGCTTCCTATCCATAACCCAGGACTGACCGTGCTCAACTGGGTAAATAAATAATAGTCTACACTTTATACACCACAGAAAAAGAAGGATGAATAAAGCCTTATGCATCACTACCAGAATTTACTTCTAAAAGGAAGTGAGGCAAGAAGAGTGTCCTGTGTCAAGTCAGGTGTGGTGGTATACACTTGCAGTCCCAGTACTTGAGCCAGAGGCAGAAGGATCTGCCTTTGACTTGTGGTGAGAAGTTTGAGGCCAGCTTAATTTATGCAGTAAGACTATCTCAATACCACCCCCTGACTCCAAATAACAGCATTTTGTTCAATTTAAAGAAGGAAAAATTCAAGCTTTGAGAATTTACTCCAAGTCACAGACTAGATCCGAAGGGCATTGATTCTTCTAACATTCAATCAGACCATACCCCTAGAGATTATCTGCAATCTGTTCAGAAAACTGGCCTAGTCTTCTTAGTTCCAAAAACAATAGTTGTATATAAAGGCCTATGTGTATATTCCGCTTTACAAATCACTAGACTCCAACATAGTTATAATACCAGTGTAGAAATGTATACACGGAATCGTATGAAAAATAGATGCTCTAAGATCAAATGTATCGCTCTACTAAGCTGTAGCTCTGACTCAAAGTCAAGATCAAGACAAACTGTTTTAAGGACAGTAGAGTGGATCTGCCTTTGACTTCTGCCCTCCATTGGTGACCTCATCCCTTGCCTCTGCACCTCCCCTCACCAGAGCTGAGGCCAGAAGCACTGACTGCTCTGCGCTACAATTACCTTGTTGGCACACTTTCCCTTGTCTTCGGGAACAGGCTGGTTGATCTTGAGCTCTTTCAGCTCCTCCTGGCAGAGCTGGAAGTCCTGTTCCAGCAGGTTGTACATGTGCTTCTGCCACTGCAGCTCATCCTTGCTCGACTGGTACAATCCCTTCATCTCCTGAAGCTGGGCTTGCATCCCTGTATTCTGGGTAGGGGAGGCCAGGCCATCATCCCAGGTACACCTACTGCCTTACTCTCTCCTCTCAGGAAGGGATCAGGGGATGGATCTGTCTTTCCCCGTCTTTTCCAGCCCTGACATCACCCCAGCCAGGAAGAACAAAGTAGACCTGTTCCTAACAGGCTTAATACCCTAACTTTGTGAGGCTTCCTTTTGGGGGAGGTAGGAGAAAGAAAGGGAATTCTTTTCTACAGGCTGACTTTCTGGTTTAAAATAAGAGAGCTATGGACATCCTGAAAGCAGCTCTCTGTGCATGCCTTTTTAAAAAATACTTTATTATTTTTATTTTATGAGTACGAGTGTATTGCCTGCATATATGTAAGTGCACCTGTGTCATGCAATGCTGTGGAGGTCAGAAGAGGGCGTCAGACTCCCCTGGAACTGGAGTTACGGAAAGTTGTTACCTGCCATGTGGGTGCTGGGTATTGATTCCAAGTCCTCTGCAAGAGCAACCAATGCTCTTAACCACTAAGCCATCTCTCCAGCCCCATCTCTGTGCATGACTTTAGCCTACCTCACCAGCAGCTCCTCCACAGAACTCCCACCAGGCCCACTCTTCGGTGCTCACCCTCACAGGAGATCCTGCCTGGCTGTGTGTTCCCTTGTGTCTGGCCCTCCTTTTACCTTTTCATTGCTCTCTCGTAAGGAGTTCACCATGTCCCGGAAGTGCTGCAGCTCTGCCTCATGGCACCGCAGCTTCTCCTGCAGTTGATGCTGTACTTCCAATAGCTTTTCCTTCTCACTCACACTGTCCTGGTGCTGGAGCTGCAGCTTCTGGAGCTGGCACATTAACTCCTGCATGCAGGGGGCTTTGGGTAGTGGTGCTGGGTTCTGTGACCTCACTCAGCCACTGATGCCTAAGAATTCACTTCCTCCTTTCACTTGCCACTTGTCCTCCCACCTATGGAAGCAGCTGAAGCAGCCAGTTATGTTTCTGGCTTGTTTCTTTATAAATAAGTATAACCCAGGCTATGTAGCTGGGGCTAGCCCTGAATTCCTGATCCTCCTGCCTCTACCTCCTTAGCGCTGGGATTATAAGTGTGCTCTACCACACCTAGCTCAAAATATGTTTTTTGTTTTGGTTTTGGTACTGGGGATTAAACCTCAGGCCTCTTGCATACTTGACAGTCTACCGTAAATCATATCCCCAGCCTAGAGTTGTTGATTCTCATTCACCTTCCCCCAACCTCAGACCAGTGCTCTTCTCCTCGGCTAACCCTTCACTTCTGGTGCAGTTACCTTCTCACTTTGGCTCTCTATGACTGTGGGTTTGATGACTTTGAGCTGCCGGAGCTCAGTCTGAAGTTTCACCTGCACCTTCAAAAGCTCATTCTGCTCATCCTGGCTAGCATCATACTTTTGCTGGAGGACACAGAGCCTGGTCTTCAGTTCCTCATTCTGTAGTAGGGAGGATGTGGGCAGAACAAGTTACTCTTAAGAAGCAGCAGACTCCTTTCCAGGCCCCTAGGATTCTTTTCCAATGCAAAGAACTTGAGAAGCTCCCTGATCTATGGCTTGGTTTCTTTGGTGAGCCGGACACTCAACAATGACCACATTTCTAGAATGTCATGCCATGTGGCTTCTATATGAAGGGGCTTTGGGTGGTACTGCTGGGTTCTGGTCATAGGCAAGAGTCAGCAGAGCTCAGCTTCACTCCTGGTGTCCAGCCTTTCTGGAGGCAGTGGCTCTGAGCAGGCCCTGATGCCCTCCCAGCTGCTGCCCCCCGGGCAGTGTTTACCTGGATGACACTGTGGGAGGTCTGAAACCGAAGCACCTCATTCTGGGCACACTTGAGCTCCCTCTGCAGTCGCCTCTGCTCCTCCTCACTGGTTCGACAATGATTCTGTAGTTCTTCCAACTCACAGCACAATTCCTTACACTGTGAGGGAAATGGAACAGGCAGATTGGTTTATGATAGGTGTTACGTGCACATCAAGAACAGGGAAAAATGTCATTCCTTAGATTGGAATACAATCAGGTGTAATAAAACATTGTAGACTCATGCTGAGAAATGTGTCATTAGACTGTTGAATCATTGTGTGACCATCATAGATTATACTTAGGCAAACTTGGTGTGTGTGTGTGTGTGTGTGTGTGTGTGTGTGTGTGTGTGGTTTATTGCTCCTAGGGCCATGATGAACACTGCCATATTGAACTAACAAAAAAGAAAATAATGTCATTAGCAAACACAATGAATCTGAAATATAAGTAGCTGCTGTCAGCTGGGTATGGGTGCAAGCCTTTAATCCCAGTACTCAGGAGGGAGAAGCAGGTGGAGCTCTGTGAGGTCAAGGCCAGCCTAGTCTACATAGTGAGTTCCAAAAAAGGACTGGTGAGATGGCTCAGTGGTTAAGAGCAATGGCTGCTCTTGTAGAGGACCTGGGTTTGATTTCCAGCACCCACATGGCAGCTAACAACCATCCATAACTCCAGTTCCAGGGGAATCCAACGCTCTTGTCTGACCGCCATGGGCACTGTACAACACAGGTGCACTAACACACTCTCAGGCAATTCACTCATACACATATGACAAAAATAAATTTTTCTGTTGTTGTTCTTCTTGAGACAGGGTCTCCCTGTAGCCCCAGCTGACTTGGAACTCACTATGTAGACCAGGTTGGCCTTGAACTCACAGAGATCTGCCTGCTTCTCCCTCCCAAGTGCTGGGATTAAAGGCATATACCATCAGGCCCAGCTTCTGGTCCATTTTTTGACTGAAATATCATCACATGACACATAACTGTATTTGTATCAGCAGGCTAGCAAGACCCCAGGACATTATCTCCTCTCATAGTACATGGCTCCTCCTTCATCCCTATGCCTACCACAGGCCAAGAGAAAGTAGAGGGAAGGTAACAGAGGCCTGCCTCCCTGCCCTCTGTGGCCTACCTTGCTCTGCATGTCTTGCATCTGCTCCTCGGCTCCCAGGAGCTGTTGGCGTAACAACTGCATTGCAGGATCAGGCTCTGGGAAATCCAGTTCTGAAGTCTGAGACTCTGTTGACATCACACTCCTTAGCATTTGGGACTCCAACCATCTCTCCGTTGCTCTTCGTGTCCTGTAATCCAGAACCCGGTCTATGTTGAAAGGAAGTCTGCCTGGCATCACTAGTCAAGTGTGTTCAGGATCAGTGCTTTCAGTTTAGGCCAGAGATACTAAAGAGCCTTTTGTTGTGATTCCTCTCTCACATACAAAAGTTTAGAAGATTAAAGAAAGCCTCTAACACCTCATTTGCACAGGCATTTTTGGCTCTGGGACACTCAAAGAATATTAACCAACTGGTTTAAAGGCTGGGCTTGGTGTCATGCCAGCTCCAACCTGGAGGCTCTGTGCCATTAGATTGACTCACATCTGTGTGGACAACAAAGGAATCTCTTCTGATCTAATCGAGAGTAGAGTCAGCTGGATGCCCAATGCCAAGAATAGACAAAAACTTAATTTTATAGCTCACTTGACTACAGTTCTAACATAATTAGGTGGCATTGTGAGCCTGCTCCTAGAAGGTCTCCATACCCTTAGGATACCACAGAAATGATCTGTTCTCCAGGAGCATTGGGACACTCATGACTCTAGCTCTGCCTTCTGGGAATGCCCAAGACAGGGTCTGCAGTGGCTTCGGCCCTCTTGGATGTACCTATCGCTCTCCAGCTCTGCAAGCTGCCCTGTGAGGCTGCTGTTGCTCTCTTGTAGTGCCTGGTACTCCTCGTTCAGGAAGTGGTAGCGCTCCCGAAGCTGGTATAACTCTTCTGCAGAAGACAAGTAGAGAGAGATGAGATCCTCAGGGGAGGAACGCACCGATGACCAACCCCCAGTTTTCCTGGCTAGAAACATGACAACAAAGGGCTGAATAGCTTCTCTTTTTCTGAAGACTGAAAACAGATACCACATGCAAAGGTTTAGATGACAGGGCCCAGAAAATTCCACAGTGCAATGAATTGTCCTCTTTCAGATAACCAGAGCAGGGAGATAGTTCAGCAGTGCAGTGCTTTTTTGGTATGTGCAAAGGTCTTAGAGTCTATGCCCGGCACCATCAAAAAAAAATTCTTCCCTTTCAGATAGCGTTCTTTCCTCTCATCCAGCCAGAAGATGTACCCTCTTACTTACTCATCCTTAGAGCTCCAACCCAAATATGGACTTGAGCTTTTAGGAGCTCTTCAGGGCTTAAATAAGTTTGGGGTTTATTGTATATAAAATTTTCAGTTACCTGTTTATGATTACTTCCCTATTATACTTCTTTTTTATACTTTTTTTTTTTTTTGGTCTTTTTGAGACAGGGTCTTCCTGTAGCCCCAGCTGTCCTGGAACTCACTATGTAGACCAGGCTGGCCTTGAACTCACAGAGATCCACCTGTTTCTGCCTCCTGAGTGTTGGGATTAAAGGTGTGCGCCACCACACCCGGCTCCCCCTGCCCCTTTTGAGACAGGGTCTTACTGTGTATCCCTGGCTGGCCTGGAATTCACTTTGCAGACCAGGCTATCCTCAAAATCATATAGATCAGCCTGCCTCTGCCTCCTGAGTAATGGGATTAAAGGAATGTACCACCACACCTGGCTTCTTATTATACTATTTTTTTTTTTTAATATGGGATCTTACGTAGCTCAAGCTGGTCTTAAACTCTAAGGATGACCCTGAACTTCTGATCATCCTCCCTCTACCTGAGTGATGGGCATACAGGTGTGTGCCATCAAGACTGGCTTTTTATTATGTGGTACTGAAACTCTAATCCAGGGCTTCATGCATGCTAGGCAAGCAGTCTACCAACTGAGCCATACTTGCTTTCTTTCATCTGCTGACAGAAAAGCCCATCCCAACCAGATCCCCATGTTCTCCTCAAGCATTAGATGAGATCTGGTCGGAATTCCCTAGAAACTGTTCCTACGTGGCAGTTACCAATACTTTTAATGCTATGTTGAAACAAATACCCAAGAAGTAGAGAGATGGCTCAGTGGTTAAGGGCACTGCTATTCTCCCAGAGGATCAAATTTGGTTCCCAGTACCCATGTCAGATGGCTATAACTGTCTGTAACTCCATCTCTGGAGGATCTGACACCTTCTTCTGGCCTCTGTAGGCACCTGTACACACATACACACATATAAATAAAAATAAAAGCCGGGCATGGTGGCACACACCTTTAATCCCAGCACTCAGGAGGCAGAGGCAGGTGGATCTCTGTGAGTTTGAGGCCAGCCTGGTCTACATAGAAAGTTCCAGGCCAGCTGGGGCTACAGGAAAACCCTGTCTAAAAAAGACCCCCCAAAATATTAATAAAATAAATTAAAAAAAATAAAATAAACCTAAAAAAATCATATCATTAGGGCTGGGGAGATAGCTCAGTGGGTAAAGTGCTTGCTGCATATGAGGATCTGAGTTCAGATTCCCAGCACTCATATAAAAAAGCAAGCCTATAACCCCAGAACTGGGGGTGTGGAGACAAAGAGTTCCTGAGACTCATTGGAGAACCAGTCTATCTGAAGCAATAATCTCCAAGTTCAGTAAGAGATCCTATCTCAAAAAAATAAGGTGGAGCTGGGCATGGTAGCTCATGCCTTTAATTCAATTCTAGCACTCTGGAAGCAGAAGCAGGCTCTGTGAGATTGAAGCCAGCCTGGTCTACACACAATGAGTTCCAGGCCAGCTTGGGCTACAGGGACACTGTCTTTAAAAAACCAAAAATAATAAATGAATGTTTTTTGTTTTGTTTTTTTTTAAGTGGAGAAAGGGCTGGAGAAATGGCGCAGTGGTTAAGAGCACATACTGTTCTCACAGAAGACCCAAATTTGGCCCCTAGCACCCAAGTTGGGTAGCTCACAACCACTGTAACTCCAGTTACGAGGGATCTAATTACCTCTTTGACCTCCATGGGCACCTACACACATGTGGCCTTCACTCAAACAAACACATAAATAAAAATACATCTTAAAAAATTTAAAAACAAGAGGACTGGAGAGATGGCTCAGCTGTTAAGAGCACTGGCAACTCTTGCAGAGGACCCGCCTTGGGTTCCCAGCACCCACATGGCAGCTGGCAACTCCAGGTCCAGGGGAGCCAATGCCCTCTTCTGACCTCCACAGGCACTGCAGGACCTGGGTGCACTTACATACATGCAGGCAAAACATTCATATATATAAAATAAAAATAAATAAATAATAAAAATAAAATAGAAATAAGGTGGAGACCAATGGAGGCAGAAACCCAACATCAACCTCTGGTCTCTATAGTGTACCCACAGGTGAATGTTCCCCTCCATATGCATCCACCACACACATACATACACATAAAAGAATACTGTCATTTGGAGCACTGATTCTACTGACCTTTAAGACACATTAACTTGTCTTATATAAGAATTATCTTATTTGCCAGAAGAATAGTCAACACCCTGAGTATTACGTCTAATGTCCCCTCCTTATTCCAATCAGAAGTTCTTAGGTTATTGCAGATCACAATGAAAGGAAGGAAACTAATCTTTTAATTAAAACTAACTGTGTGTGAAGCATTGGACTTGATGGTTTTGACTTTGGATAAGCATTTCATTTAATCCCCGAAATAGCCCTGTACAGAATTTTTCTCCCTAAATAAACCTTTAATTTTAGAATACTTTTAGATATACAAAAATAATTCCTTGGGAGAATTCTCATCCAGGTTCCTCATCTGTGAGCACATTACATATTGCTGCTGCCCACCTGTCAAGACTAACACATCAGCATTGCTACATTACTATTAACTCCATGCTTCATTTGGATTTCTCTACAGTTTCCCTGGTCTTTTTTCTCTTCCAGCGTCCCATCTTGTTGGTCAATTTTATTAATCAATTTGAGTTCCATATTTCAAATATGGAAATGAGGCTCAGAAAGAGATAATAACTTGACTGAGTTCATCCTGCTACTGTCTGGAGGCTGTTTCTGAACTTGGGCTGGGTTCACTCTAGCCAAATCCTTTCCCGTTCTGCCTCCCTCTCTTAGCACCACAGTCCAAAGGCACTTCTGAGAGATTTCACACAACTGGGAAAACTTTCAGTTCTTTGATTTCCTTGTTGACTGTCTGTGCTTGACCTGGCCAAATATAGGCCCCCATTATACCCAGAGCATAAATCCAGACTAGAATAAAGGCAAAACTCTCTGATGTCATGAATCCTAGCAACTAGCTGGGAGACTGTCTGAAAACAGGGCTCGAAGCTTTTGAGTACCACATGCATTACTAGAAATAACCTCTCTTCTTCTCCAGCTGTCTTGTGGTCTGATTTGTTGCCCCTTGAAGTTCATATTCTGAAGAGGGCTAAACTAGCATCCTGGGATCTGAGATGCAGGACTGGAAGCCTAAATTGGTCCAGGCAAAGAGCCATGATACCAGAGCAGAAGGAAGGGTTTCCTAAGGTGACTGGTCCTTCTATACTCATCCCAGAACTGGACACTTTCCCAGGGCAGACCTACCCATAGCCAAATCAACAAGTACCCACTAGCTCTCTGGGAAGAACCTCCAGGGTACATCTCTGTGGTGCTAATCCTTACACCACCATGGACTGCTTATATAAGAGCTGAGTAAGTTTTTCTCTCTTACAGACTTGAATTCAACCTGGAGAACTTTTCTTGACCTTTTTAATGCATAAGCTAACATGACTTTACCACCACCTTCCTATCTATGACATCTTCTCTGACTTTGCAGACAGACCAGGAGGTCTCATACCTTGTATGCCAGAGAAGTCTGGTTCAGAGGTCTTCAACTCCATTTCTGCACGGAGTGAGGCAATCTCCATCTCATAATCCCCTCGAACGCGTTCCATGTCGTCAAGTTCATTCTGCAACCGGTAAAGGTCTTCCTGCAGGGAGGCTATGTCGCTCTCATGTTCAGTTGCAGAATCTGCTGCAGCTTGCCTTAGGTTCTGGATCTCAGCCTGGGCCAAATGCAACTCCTGTTCTATTTCCTTAAGTTCAACTTCTTTCTCATGCTCTAACAGGGAAATCTCCTCCCGTAGATGTTGCAGCTCACCTGCAAAGACCAAAGGTTGAGATGGTCAATAAGGTGAGTGAATCCACCATGTTCTAGAGGCACAAAATTCAAGGAAGATTTTTTTTGTCTGGAAACTAGTGACAACCTAGTCCCTACCCCACTAGAGAAGTGGATCATGGTATGGTATGAAATGAAAAGGTACCTAAGAAGGGAACAGAGTGACTCTCTATGGTAGAAAGGCAGACTTTGAGACCTTGCACCCAAAGTGTCAATGTGGGCTGGTGTGAACAAAGAGTACTAAGTGCGACGAGAACAAAGTATAATGACACATATGTATGAAAATGCCATATGAAACTCATTATTTTGTATGCCAATCTAAAAATTTTTAAATATAAACAAAAAAGTATTACGTGCCCAAAGAATCACTTGACAGTAAAAACCAAACCCACTGAGTATGGTAGCTCATATCTGTAATTGGAAGCAGGAGGATCAGATGCTCAAGGTTATCTTCAGCTACATTGTAGTTTGAAGCCAGCCTAAGCTAGATATCATATCTCAAAAAACTCCAAAATAAAACACCTAATTGGCAGTATTTTTAAAAATAATTTATTGAGAATTTCATACATGCATATAAGGTGTTTTAATCAAATCCCATTCCCTCCCTTCTAACTCCTCCCATATCGCCCCATCATTTTTTTCTCATAACTTCATGTACTCTTTCTTCTTCTTTTTTTGTTATGGGGCTTTTGGCTACTCTAACATTCCCCCCTCTTGAAGAGGTAACCCTAAAATCTTTTAAGATTTAGATAAGAGCTCCCAAATACTTTCGATATTTTTGGCCTTTGGAACAGAGTATGTTGCTAAGAGGCCCAAGGACATTTTGACTTTTAGCCAAGAGATTGGCTACTTTTCTTTGGGGTCTTTTTACCCTAACTGCCTAGCCAATTCCTACCTGCTATTCTTATGACACCATCGACTGAAGAGGTTACCCAGCTTGTGGATAGGGAATCAGGACTCATACTGCTCTGGCTTCTTCCATGCTGAACAGGGACGCAGGGTGAGGCAATTGGGGTACCCCTTCAGTGGGTCTATCTAAAAGACTCCCAAATTGTATAACTGTTATCTTTAGGGGGAAAAGAAAGTCCTTGACTGGTGAATAGGAGATGTGAAGGAGAAGTTAAGGCAAGAGTAGTTAGCATTACAAGTTCTAGACAGGGAACGAGAAAAAAGTCAGAACAGGGCAAATTTCAAATGTTCATATCAGAGTCCATTCGAATTTCTTGATGAGATAATTGGCAGTATTTTATCAATGCTCTGTCTTTCTAAAAATTCCATGGCAAAGAAATTTTCAGACTACATTCATCGTGAGAGCTTAGAAATTGCAGGGCTTCAGTGTCCTGCCCTGCCTCCATGAACTTCCTCTGATAAGCTCAGGATGCAAGACAATACATATTTAGAATTCAAACTCAAATTCAAATATAGGTTCATTGTCTGATAGCAAAATGTGGAATACTAAGCTAAATGTCAACTGGTAATGTCAGCTGTTTAAACGAATGATGCTATTCACCATGAGGTCCTTAGTACAAGCCAACGTCAGTGACATGGTCTTAGACTTCCAAAACAGTGAGGCAAAATAAAACTTCTTACTAACTAAAAGGATATAAAAGTATTTTCACACTACTAAGCTAGATACTATATAACACAAAAAACATAGAAAAAGGTTTGGGGAACAATCTGTTCCCAAAACCACAAAGAACAGTTGCTTCAAGGCTGGGAAAATGGTTCAATCAGCAAAGTACTTGTCATCCAAGCATAAGGACCTGAGTTTGGATCCCCAGCACCCACACAAAAAGCCAGGCATGGTGGCATGAGTCTGTAACCCCAACACTGGGGCTCGGTGTGGGGAGCAGAGACAGGCAGATCACTGAAGCTTGCTGATCAACCAGTCTAGCTGGTTAGTGAGCTCCTGGTTCAGTGAGGGGCCCTTTTTCAAAAAAGTAAGGTGACTGAGTGAGGAAGACACCCGACACTGACCTTATCTCCACACTCACAACACATTCACATGCATTCACATATACACAAACATATGAACACACATATGCCACACGCACACACACATTTTATAAATATACATACAAAATTCATTAAAGAAAGCAGTGTTCCAGAGGAGTAAAATAACATGTTATGGCTTATTTTACCTTCCATCTCATATAGCTATGCTGTTTGATTTTCACAAATTTCTATACTATTTTTTTATATAGAGATACACGTTTCATTTTACAAAACAAATGTGTCAGAACTCATATCTGAGGAACACCTCAGGTTTCTTTTGTTAAGACAGGGTCTCGGGGCTGGAGAGATAGCTCAGGGGTTAAGAACACTGGCTGTTCTTATAGAAGACCCAGGTTTGAATCCCAGCACCCACATGGCAGCTAACAACTGTCCATAATTCCAGTTCCAGGAGATCCAACAGCCTCTTCTGTCCTCTGTGGGCACTGCATGACACGAGTGCACTTACCTACATGCAGGCAATACACGCATACACATAAAATAAAAATAATAAATAAAATATTTAAAAAAAAGACAGGGTCTCATTCTGTAGTGCAGGCTGGCCTAGAATTCATTGTGATCCTCCTGCCTCAGGCTCCCAAGTTGAGGGGATTACAGGCATGAGCCACCATGTCCAGCTTGACATCTCAAGGTTTCTGGATGTGAGTACTCATTTGGGATGGATAAAGAAAACTGAAAAGCAGAGTAAAAGCTACAAACATCAGTAAGAATTCCGAGGCGGAGGCAGGAGCAAGGAATTAATGAGAACTGGAATTGGCAAAGAACATCGCCCCCCATGTCCCATCCCCTGCTCATTCTCAACATTCAGATCTTAATTTTTCCTAGCCTCTCCCCGACCACCTCACAAAGCTAAGAGGAATCCTCTATTAAACACTCTCATAGACCCTTGAACTTTGCAACGTGTGTTTGTGGGTATGGAGTTGGTCTACTTCTTGATTATAAACTTTATGAAAGCAGGGAATATGCCTGTTTTCGTCACCATTAAATTACAGCTCCTATATCTGATAATGTGCCTGGCAGAATACACTCAATAAATACTTACTTCATTCATGCATGAGACAGGGGCTCATCCATTCAACCTTTCTTGAATTTCTCTTGTGTATACAGAATTACGTGTTTGGGGATTATATTTTTATTTATTTTATGTACATGGATGGTTTGCCTGTATGTATTTAAGTGTACCCCATGTATGCAATGCCCATGACAGTCAGAAGAAGACACCAGATCCCCTGGAACCAGAGTTATGAAAAGTTGTCAACTGTCATATGGGAGCTGGGAAAAGAACCTGGTCCTCTTCAAGAGCAGCCAGTGCTCTTAACCACTGAGCCATCTCTCTAGCGTCGGACTTTTTACTTTTTATTTTTTGGTCTTTTTGAGACAAGGTCTCCCTGTAGCCCCAGCTGTCCTGGAACTCCCTATGCAGACCAGGCTGGCCTTGAACTCACAGAGATCCGCCTGCCTCTGCCTCCCAAATGCTGGAATTAAAGGCATGCACCACCATCCCTGACCTATTTTTTTTTAAAGTTATAAGAGAACCTAAACATCTTTTAAGAAATTTAGGACACAGTGGTACATGCCTGTACTCTCAGAACTCTATAGGCTGATGCAAGAGAATCTACTGAGCCTAGAGTTTGATATCAGCTTTCTAAGGGGACCCCTGTGTAGGGGGGAAAAATCATTTGGACATAAATGCTGAGTGGATAGGACACTTCATGGGAAGATCTCAGGCCTAGACCAAACATGAGCACTTAAGTTGTGGGAATTCCTGTTTTGTTTTTGTTTGATTTCTTTAGTGGCACTGGGGGTTCCCAGCACCTAATGTGTGCTAGGCAAATGTCCTAACTACCGAGTCATATTCCCAACCCCTGACTTCCTATTTCAAAGGAAGTACACAAAACTAGTGTGATATGCTCCATTCTTTCATAGTTTATAGCCAGATGAAGGAGAGGTGCACACACACACACCAAAGTACAAGGATCTATGAGGTGAGATTCAGGTCTTCAGCTCAGTCTAGATGGGGGGGGGGGGTCCATAAGTCAACTGGCCACATGATGAGATCCTCGAGCCCTGGGCTGATCTTTCAATGGGAGCAGACTAACCTCCACCCCTTAACATGCCCTCAAATCTCCCTCGGTACTCTGGGGTCTGGCTCTACACACAGCCTTTTAGGATCATGGGAGTTGGGGCAGTGATAGGTGGTGGCCTAAGGGCCCACCCGGAAGCTGGATGGAAGCCCAGCCAGAGTTTAGAAAGGCGGGAGCTGGGTTCCAAATGGCTGGCGCCGGTTGAGTGTAGGGCTGGGGTCTTCCTGGGCCAGGCAGAGGATTCAGGAGTCTGGTTGCCGGGCAGAGAAGGCACCTGGCACTTACTGGTTATGGCCTGCATCTCGCCGGCCCCCCACAAGCAGTCTCCGGGGGGGGGGCTCCCGCCTCCCGGGAGGGGCTGTGGCGGCCGGAACGGCCTCGGAACACCAGGTACCTCTGAGGCCACGAGCGCCCCCACTTGGCGGAAACGGGCAACGCGCGTGTGCAAGGACTGGTCCCAAGTTCCTCCGCCGGGCCAGGCTCGGGGTGCGCTGGAAGCCTGCAGCCCGTCACCTGGTTGAGACCCAGGTGACCACGGAAATTCTAGCAGCAACTCTGTTGTTTTGCCTTGGACGGTTAGATTCCCAGACTTGCCTCTATTGGAAAGGAAGAATGCTCCTTTTCCATGCAAAGGCTATTACTGTGCTCTGCTCAACGGGACCTTTTTCTTCATCGTATAAATAAGATGTAGGGTTCTTTACCTTCAAAATCAAATCCTATCCCCTGACCCCACTTCACCTTCCCTTATTTCTCGTTAAGATGACTATTAGAGTGATCTCCGTATCGCCTCCATTTTTGCTTCAATTCCAATTCAACTGCTTTCCATTGCTCTCACGTCTCATGCATGGTTCTCCATCTTGGCAACTCCAAGACCACCTCACTTGCTCAAGCAACATTCCCCACAGTGGATCATTATTTCCTTGAAGCATTTTCTGTTCTTGGTTTTCAGGGCAGAATGTATTTTAGGAGTTGCTTCTATTATTTCTTTTGTTCATTTCTCCTCCAATATTCGGCCTCTAATTATAAGTGTCTCTAAGACTGAACCATGTTGTCTCCTCTCTGATAGCTCTCTGTGTGACTGAATGGCCATCTCCCATGGATTATAATGTTGCATGTTAATAACTGCCAGATCTCATTTCTAGCCTTTTCTAGATTCATACATCCAAATGCCTCTTTTACATAGTCACTTGAATATCAAATTCATCCTGTAGAAAAAGTCATAAACAGCTTCCCTGGTCCCAAGCTTGTTTCTTGTCAAGCACTCCCATGCCAGTTAAGGATGCCACCATTCACCCAGTTTCTCCAGGTAGTCATCTTCCAAATCTATTTTATCACCCATCTGATTCACCAGCAAATTCTGAGGACTCCACCTTCAAAATATATCTAAACCATCATCTCCATTTCTACTGCCTTAATCCAAGAAAACATCATTGCTTGAATGGACTACTGTAATAATTCCTGACATGCTCTCGGTTTCAACTCCCCTCCTTCCTCCTGGATTCCATATAGTAGTCAAAATGCTCTTTTGAAAATGCAAAGCAAGGGCTGGAGAGATGGCTCATCAGTTAAGAATGCTTGCTGTTCTTTAAGAAGGCCAGAGTTTGATTCCCAGCACCCATATTGGTGGCTCACAACCTTCTGTAACTCTAGCTCCAAGAGATCTGACGCCCTCTTATGGCCTCTGAGGGCACTGCACTCAAGTTCACAAACACATACATAGACACATTGAAAAAAAGGAAAAGAGGCCAGGTGTGGTGGTATATTCCTTTAGTCCCAGCACTTGGGAGGCAGAGGCAGGCCTGGTCTACATAGCGAGTTCCAGGCCAGCTGGGACTACAGAGAGACCCTGTCTCAAAAGGACCAAAAAAAAAGTAAAACAAAGGACTGATGTTACATAGTAGTTGAATACTTGCCTAGTCTGTACAAGCCTTGGATTCAATCCCCAGAACTGGAGAGAGAAAAAAAAAACAACTAAAAATGTAAAGCATATCATGCCATTCCAGCCCTAGATAACACTTCCAATAGCTTCCACTATACTTAAAATGAAAGCCAGCATCATCAGCTGCCCTAAAAGGCCTATTGTAACCCAACCTCTGCCTGCCTTTTGGAATTCTCTTACCAAGTCCTTCATGTGCACTTCACAACGACCTTAGTTGTATCCCTCCAACATATAAAGTGCATTCTCATCTCTGGGCCTTTGCAATCACTGTTCTTTCTGCCCGGTATGCTCTTCCTTCAGATTTCGAATAACCATTCCCCCTCATTACTCAGTGCAAATGCCATCTTCTCAAAGACTTTTTAAAGTAGCCTATGTAGAACTCTCACCTCATCCCTGTCTGTACATCACACCTTCATATTTAACTCATATATTTACTGCCACTTGAACTTGTTTGTTTATGTTTTCTTTTTTTGTTAGAATATGCTTCTAAAAATCTGCTTTGTCTTGTTTTTGAGACAGGGACTCAGATAGCCCAGCTGGCTATGTAGCCAAGACTGGCTCTGAACTCCTGATTCTCCTGCAACCACCTCCCAAGTGCTGGGATTACAGGTCTATGCCACTAGGCCCAACTGTAGAATCTACTCCTCATTAAGGATCTGGTTGATCTTGTTCATTGTTGGTCCTTCAAATATAAAAGTTCTTAATAAATAGTTGATAAACAAATGAATTAGTCTCATCTTACAGGTAAGAAACTGAGACTCAGAGAGATAAGTGGCTTTCCCAAGGTCATAAAATCTGGATGTGGTAGGGCTGAGCCCAACAGCCTAGATGGTGTGAAATCAATGCTCACACTCTTTCCCTGTGCTGCACATCCCCTGCCATTTTCTCCTCTTTGCCACATTTCCTGCACCTCCCTTTGCTTACATGTTGTACCCTTCTTTCTCTTCTGCTCTTATACCTTTGCTTGCTCTCTCCAGGACAGCTTCCAAACCTTCTTCTTCTTCTTCTTCTTTTTTTTTTTTTTTCCCATTTATACTTTTCATTTGGCTTGATCTCAGAGTCCCTGCTGTTTTCTAGGGCAGCTCCCCAAAACCTCTGGAAGCCCACAGAATTAACAAAAGCTTCTTCTTTATTTGATAGTACAGTGGAATATAGGACACCTGCCTTGCTGTTTTCCGGAAACAAAGAGACGAGGGTGTTGGAAGAGAGGGATTTGGGACCACAAGCTCAGGTCCAAGGAAGCAAGAGCAGTTTTCTCATCTGCTTCCTTCAAAGATTCATGGAGTGCCCTCCAGCCACTTCCCATTGGGTTTCTGCTCTCCCACATGGTGCCATAGGAGGGACCAGAGAGAGAAATATAGCTTGGAGCTCAACCTTGATCACTCATTCCTGGCACTGTGTGGGAGAACAAAGTAAAGGAGATGTGGGATAAAGAAAGAGGCTGAGAAGACAAAAGGGAAAGCACCTGAGAGAGAAGATATAAGACAGGTGGGCAAGAAAGGAGAGAACAGGAGCACTAGGTAGAGATGCAAAGAAAGGAAATCAGGGAAAGAAGAGAGGAACAAGGGGATGAAAAATGGTAAGAAGAGAAAGGGTGGAGAAAAGAGGTAAAGTACTGAGTTAGATCTGCTTGACTAGGTGGCCACCTCCCTCCATGTGGACTCAAGGGTTACCTTGGAGTTGCTGGATCTGCTTGGTGAACACTTCTGCCTGTTGAGCACTGGCCAGCCGCTCGTCCTCCAGGAGCCCTGCAGTGAGAGAGGGCATCTGGCTTGGAATCAGGGAAATACAAAGCCTTTGGGCCCAGGCCTCCTGCCATGTCATAGATACTTACCCTGCAGCTCTAGGGAGTCATCCTCATGCTGTCCGGCCAGCTCACGAGTCTCCTCCAACTCTGTCACCAGCTGGAGTACCTGAGCCCTCAGCTCCTCCAGTTCTGTCTCTGTGAGGCTCAGGCCCCGGTGCTTGCCCACTGACAGGGAGCCTACACCACCCCCTTTCTGCACTTGATCATCATCATCTTCTTCTTCTACCTCTTCCTCCTCTTCTTCTTCATATAGAGCTGGGAGTAACACCTCTCCTAGGAGAGACAGCCATCCCACCAGAGAGTCAGAGCTCACTTCCCTGTTGGCAGTCCTTCCAGAGTCCTGCATCTCACCACCCCAGGGCCCAGACAGTAGAATAGTGCCACCTGGTGTCCCCCAAGGTACCCCTGGGCAGGACTCATGATGAATCCTCTGGTGTATCAAGTTTGCAACCCCCCCCCCCC